TCACATCATAAAAGTTTTTGACTAAATATCAAGCAGTGCCAGCCCAAAGGTGGATAATCATGGTCATTTTAGCTGAATGCAAGTATTTTTCTTGATAGTGTGCACTACTTGATAAAAGACGATAATTTGAGTGAGAAATTTTTATTACAAACAATGTCTATAAGTATCTTGAAAACTACGAAAGCCAGAATCTTTTGTGAGTAATGGTAACATTCTTCTTAAAATCATGCTCATTGATTTTATTTTGTAGTCTTTTTTTCTGAAAGAAGATGTCCAAAAGAAGCTTCTCGTTCCTTTTCAACCTTTTTATGTTAACATTATTATATTCGATTAGCTCATGGGAAGAAAATATCCTTTTCTTATTTTCATATATTCAAGCATCCCTGTATTTGTCATAATCATATGGACACGCTTTTCATATTCAGAACCTGAGTTGAATTAAAGTCAACAATAACGAATTCTATAGACATTAGTTTTTTCCTACTGATTTGTATCCAGAAATGTTGCTCTGTCTACATAATGTCTTTTGGTGTTCTAGATCAGACGAATAACATCCAGCAATTGAATGTACCAGCTCGTGGCATCCAATATCATCAGAATGCCAGAAGTATGATGTGTTGAATACCAATCTCGTTGGTATTAAAATTCCATACAGTGTTTCTAAATCATAAATTGTGATATGGCCAAGGAAGCTTAACTCTTGAACCTCAGAGTCAATCGAAATTCTAGCTACAACGCTAATGATAAGCACATTTGTTTTGGATAATAGGAATATCACTTATCTTGCGAAAAGATCCCTAGTCAAAATTTGACTCTGTTTGAGGTAGTCGATATTTTCGGTAGCTTTGAGACAAACTTATTTATCGACCAGCAATGCAAAGCTGCATGACACTAAATAAGACATAAGCATAAACCCATTAAAAACAATATAGAAACGATTTCAAGAAGAAAAACACACTTTTAAGTTAAGAAACGTTATCTTGAAATTCACAATGTAATCAAATAGATGCGATACAAATTATCGAACCATACATATTTACAGTATGTTTATTACACATATAGTCTACAAAAATTGTAATCGTTCTTACTTTCTGAGGGTAGAAAAACAGTATAGAAAAACAGTAGCTAAACCGAAAACCTGTAGAAAAATATTACTTTCTTGAATTTATGATTGTGTTTAAAAAAAAGAAAATCGAATGATGAATACTATCCATTTTGTGAAAGTTGGCAAATAAGATCAAAAATTTTTCACTACAAGTCTAACGACATTAATAAAATTCTCGTACATACCTGAAAATAAGACTTTCGATAATCTCTCATCAGTCTACTTCTCGACATTTAAAATCACATATTTAGGAGGCATTCAAGTATTATTACTGGAGTCTTCAGAAAAAATATACAGATTTCGGAGAAGTTAGGACAGAATTCTTACAATCTGCATTTTTTTTCTTTAGAAAATTTTAGTTCGATGTTTAGATGTATACCTATTTGCTAATACACGAATTCCATATGTGTAAGCAGTGTACCAACTCTGTCTTAAATGGCTGCTAACTATGTCTTTGTATGAAAACGCTTGTTAGCACAGCCCCTTTTGGGTTGAAACAAAGAACGCACACATTTCTCATAGGCTATCATACCTAATCACCAGGAGCTTTCTGAACTGGCAAAACTTGGGAGAGCACCGATAGTTTTTCGAAAAATTTTAAATTTCTGAAAAAATATTTTCCACTATCGAGCAAAAAATTTGAATTTGCCAAGGTTGAGAGTGTCATCCATGAAGGCAGAAGGGTCGCTAATACTTCTGTTTAACAGTTATACTCACTATTTTCTTTCAAAATCTATATGAGTTTCAAAAAATTCTACAAGCCCAAACGACATTATGTTTTGCTGAGGGATGAATTTCTACTCTCCATTCTGGAACTGGAGTACATTGCAATTTAGTTCGCTCAAACTTTCGCCTTTACATTCATTATTTAATTCTCAGATCTAATTTCATCTCTTACCAATGAAAAGAAAAGCTAGGATGTATCATTCTCGCATGCAGTTTTCTTCTTAAAAAGAATCTTGTATTGGCCAATCTTTCTTATGGGGAATTTTCTTTCTATGAAGTTTTACAATAGAATGTAGTGATTACCATAGAATGACATTGTTCAGTTTTGAAAATTCTATGAATAGTTTTGTTTTGATGCTAGTTGACCATTGTTAGTATGCCGTGATTTAGAAAAAAAAAGTTGAAGAGTTATCAAATCTCATTTTATATTGTACTTTAATAGTTAATCAACAACTCCTTGAATTAGCTGATCGATATGAAATACAAATCAAAAGAATTAAATGCCTTTGCAAACTTGAAAAGTTCAAGATTGTCATACTTTGCGATGATTCCGGTTCCATGCAGGAGCCTGTTGATGGAGGTAAGACTACTCGTTGGGATGAGCTTCGTGATATTGTAAAGATGGTTATCAAAATTGGTTGTATATTCGAGCCAAACGGTGTCGATGTTTACTTTCTCAATCGACCAAATAAATACACAATCAAACATCCGAATGAAGCAGAGCAGCTATTTGACGTCCCGCCAAGCGGATTTACACCACTGGTGCGTTCTCTAAGACAGATCTTTCAGCTGCCAGAAGCTCAAAAGAATAGCAGTAAAAAACTGTTAATATTCATCGCCACCGATGGATACCCAACAGATGACGAGGGTACATCGAATTTTGAAGAATTCGAAAATGTTATGCGCAACGAGCGACAATCGGAAACTACTCATGTATCGTTTCTAATCTGCACTGACGAACCAGAATCTGTTGATTATTTGGCACATTTTGATCGAACGATGAAGAATGTTGATGTGACAGATGATTTTAAAACAGAAAAAGCCACTATATGTCGACATCAAGGAGCGAACTTTAAATTTTCGAAAGGTGACTACATTGTAAAAGCTTTGGTTGGTGCAATCGATCAAGAAATCGATGAACTCAACGAACCTAAACCAGAAAACCAAAATCGTAGTTAGAAATCTATCTTGAGCACAAGATTTTTATCTACAGATGTTTTTTTCATGAATGATTGTTTTTTCTTGAGTGTTTCAAAGAAATCAACGATATTGATATTTCGAATCGTCTACAACTGGATTTGAGATGTATCAGGTGATGCTATTTGAAGAGTGTGTGTGGGTGAGTATGACTGTAGTTATGGCTACGGATGTGGGTGTGGGTGTGAGTGTGGGTGTGGGTGTGGGTGTGGGGTATGGGTGCTGATGTGGGTGCGGGTGTCACTGAATTGAGTACCCACATCCACACCCACACCCACACCCACACACATCCACACCCACATCCACACCCACATCCACACCCCCACCCCACACACTCACACGCCACCCACTTCATTACATTTATTCGGTGTCTTCTAAACTTTCAAAAGTAGTGAAGCATTGGTTTCCGCTTTTCATTGTATTGTATTCTAATGTTATTTTTACCTGTGAATCGTGAACATCATATATTGTTACTTTATTAACAACAATCTGACGTTTTTGAAAAGATTGAATTATTGACATGTTTTTAAAAGCAGCTCTCTTTCTCTACACTAAGACGTATGATGTTTGATTGTTTGAAAGAGACATTCTCACCTCATGGCCTTCAAGTTTATCCGACTTGGCAATATTCCACTTCCTTTTGTGGCGACATTGTAAAACAAATATTTTCAAATTAATATACGACCTGAATACTATAAAAAACAGAACGGCGAGAGAAAGTGCAGTAATAAAGAAAGAGATGTGACGCGTCAGTAAGTGATGATAGCTTGACACAACGTGTTTAAAGACTTTCTTGAGAAATAGAAACTTGGCATATTAGCTATGATAAAAAAACGAGTCGTTCCAGTTTGTTTAACCGTGAACATCTAATAAATTCTTTTCTATAGATGTCTATTGTGACCTACTGAAAAAGAGGTACAAAAAATACATGATCCATTGTACCATACGGCTAGCTGCACTTGCATATAGACATGTGAATTCGACTTGGTGTCAAAAGGACAATCGCATTTAAAGAATAGTTTATAAGGAAGTCTAGGCACACTTTACTCACCTTCTCGAATATTTATCAACTGACATCGATCAGGAGATGTTGTACGTAAAGTTATATTTTCGAGCAGAAGACGAGCATGTGCAGTAATTGTTGGGTGTTTGAGAAACATAATGATTGGAAGATTGTGCTTGAAATTAACTGAGTATAAGTGAAATAAGCTTATAAACGATCCAGGATCGTCTTTGAGAGAAAAGAATGACGTTGAGATTGATAGTGTTGAGTCAACATGAGAGAGTACTTGATACCATATTTTGTGTACACGTTGCTCCATTTCGGTTCGTGGTAGTTTTTCTTCACTTAGAAACGTAGGGCGACAAGTAAAATCAGGCGGTGGAAGATTTCTTTGATCTATTTCTCCGTTTTGATCGACAGGCAAGGCATCAAGAATCATAAAACTAGATGGCACCATATAGAATGGTAGATGGGCTAAGCAATATTGTCTCAAATGTTGAATAGTGTGCGTTGTTTGAACGTAGGCCAGGAAGTAATCAGTATCATTGTGTTTTGCTTTAATAACCAAATAGTCGATAACTATCTTCATCAAAACTTCTCTAATGTCTTTAAGTGCCATAGGTTGACTGCTCAATTTCACCTGATGATTCCAATATCCTTTGAATTCAAGCTGTCGGTTTCTGGTATTCATCCAACCTAAGTCACCTGTTTTATAACAAATTTCACCGTTGAACTCACATAGTACTCTATGTGTAAGATGATTACATCCATAATAGCCAGAAAATACTCCACAGCCTATTAATATACAAAATAATGACATAGCTCTTATTTTATTCCGATGTAAAAAAGATGGTAACTGATTTAGTTCTATGAAATATTACATCCAATGATGATTTCACCTGTTTGGACACCAGATATAACTGGTTGAAGATATTCGTCCAAAAGATAGATGTGAATATTTGGTAAAGGTCATCCAATTGGTAAAAACTCAGCATCATCATTATTGCTTTCACCAATATATTGCATTACTGTTCCTGTACATTCTGTACATCCATAATAGTTATAAAATCGACAGCGCTCATTTACAAAATTCAACATATTGCGCATAGTATTAGTCATCAAGGGTTCTCCTATCGAAAGAAGATGATAGACTGAAGAAGAAATAGACCTTAGTATTGTATCTTACCTCCAGATAAAACACAGCGAAGTGTCTTTAAATTCTCCTTGCTACTTGCAGTGCTCAAATAATCGTCGAATATGCTTAGCAATGAAGGCACAATATTAAAAAAAGTGATTTGTTGACGCTCAATTGTTTCCGAAAAGAAATTCATATTAAGATTGCCATTTGGATGAAGTAGAATTGCTTGACCACCCATTATTAGAGTTCCAACGATTTCTAGTAAATGAATATCGAAATTAACTGATGTATGATGAAGAACAGTATCCATCGAGTGGATATGATTGGAACGAACACTTGAAATAAAATTGTGATGGCGAAGTTGAACCTAGGGTAATCACAAAGAACAAGTCAATCATATGCTTGTAGACTAATTCTTTCTATCGACTTACTGCTTTTAGTAAGCCAGAACGATCACTTGTGAAAATAATATGTGAGATATGTTCAGGTGTTACATTGATAGAATCAATGTATGTTGTTATTTCTGCGTTTATATGATCGAAACAAATGACTTGACCAACATTGATCATTAAACATTGAGAAAGAAGCTGATTCTGTGTAGGTTGATGCACGAGAATGAGATGAGCATCAGTCTGTTGAATGCATGCATTCAGTTGCTTATCAGGATCATGCAAATTCAAAGGAGTATAAATACCACCACTCATCCAAATACCGATCATCCCAATTACCATTTCGAACGATCGTTCTATTAATTGACAAACAATTTGACCAGGCTGAACAGCACATTTAATTATTAAATAATTAGCTAACTGTTGAGCATAGAAAAGCAGTTCAACATAAGTCAGCGATCCATTTTCTAAAACTAAAGCCACTTTTTGAGGATGTAAATGAGCTTGATCAGCAAAATCCCCATGAATACAACCAATATGACCATAATCAAGAAAAGTATGGTTCAAATCATGTAATAATTCAACTTCATGTGGAAGTAAAAGCGAAAATTGATAGATGGAGGAAATAGAAAAGAGTTGATCGGAAATATTCTTCAAACGCATTGTCATTGTGGAAATAGTCGATTCGTTATAAACATCGAGTGAAGCACTAAGCGAAACAGAAATTGTCTCGTTTTGACGATGTTCACGCAGTGTACAAGTTATATCAAATTTAGTAGTACTGCCAGCCAGTAAGTTTCCGTCTACTATATTAAATGTCGTTTCGTTGTCGTTTTCTATATTTTGTTCACTATTATCCATTATCGTCTCCAAAAGAAAGAGTGTCCGAAAGAAGGATATTCCTAATTTTGGATTAAGTTTAACAATCTCCTGATAAGGCAAATGTGAATGTGGAAGAATATCAAACCAAAGTTGTTGAATTCGGTGACAAAGCTGAGTAAAAGACTCGTACGGATCAATCTTCAAATAAAATGGTAGAGCATTGACAAAAAAACCAATCATGTTTTGAAGTTGATATTGAGATCTGTTGGTCACAACTATACCTGTACACAAATCTAGCTGCTGGCTATTGGACATTTTGAAAAGAAAGCAGCGAGACCAACTTGAAAAAGTATCAAATTTGATTGTGAAATAAAACGATTCAAACTAATAAAAAAAATCATGATCAAGATCGAAAATTATTGTATAACCCTTGCCACTTCGTATGAAAGAGTTTTGTTGATCAACTGAATTGTCTAAGCTTGCTAAGACATTTTTCCAATATTTTCGAGCACTCGACCAGTCTTCTAATCGTTCATATTGTGCATAATCAAGATAGGTACTATTGTTTTTATTGTTGGTAGATAATGCTTGCATTGTAAGATTTTGTCAAAGATCATTAATGAATATGATAATTGAACTACCATCGATAGCAATATGATGAAAATTGAAAAGAATAATGTCGTCTTGTTTTAAATTGTTGTCATCATTGTTATTAAATGATTGACAAAGAATATGACATCGAAACGCTGGACCTTGCTCAAGATTGAACAAAGATCGATTTGTTCCTTCGTTTAATACGATTTGCTTCAAATGAGTATCATTCATTACACAGAGGATTTCTAAATCGAACAAATTATTTGATATCGGAAGTATCTTCTGCATGAGTTTGTCTTGATCATAAATTAATGCTGTACGAAATATTTCATGTTTACCAATAATATTTGTAAGAGCCTGACGAACACGATCTATTGATAACGAAGTGGCTGTTGTTAATTTGTAGATGAGTAATTCATTATAAACAGATGTTTGTCCATTGATTGATTCATTAAAGCGTATCTTTTCATCCATCCAGAGGCGTTGTTGAGCAAATGAGGCCACTTCTATTTGAAATTAAGTGTAATTATATTCAAGCTGTTTTTAATAGAGGGAACGTACCTTATATTAGATGAAGTGAAGTCTAAATGATATGTGGTTTTGTTTTGCTATTTGTCAACAGCTGAATGTGCTCAGCAATAGTTGGGTTAACAAAAAAGTCAAGTACATTGAGTTGTTTATTTGGAGCCAAATGAAACTGATCATAATTGAAGATTTGCGTCAATGAAAGCGATGAACCACCCAAAGCAAAACAATTCATGTGACGAGAAACTGCATCAAGTCTTAAGGTAGAACGCCACAAACTATGTACTTGGTCTTCTAATTTGACAATGATCGATCTTCTATTTGGAGAAAGTTAGTTGATGTATCCAACCGTAATGACGGTACTGGAAGTTGTTTTCTGTCGATTTTACCATTGGCATTGATTGGAAATTTATCAATTACAATAAAGTAAGATGTAACCATGTATCGTCGAAGATACTTCTTGCAATATTCTCGAATTTCGTCAGTATTGAGTTCCAAATCATTTGACACCACATAGGCAATAAGCATATCATCGTTTTGGGAAACTTTGATGACTAAACAGTTCGAGATCTTACTAGGAGACCAGCTCATAATTGCATTTTCAATTTCAGCTGGTTCAATTCATTGACCACGTACTTTAATTTGAAAATCAACACGCCCAGAACAAACAAGTTCATCTCTTGTGTTATATCGAGCTAAGTCGCCTGTTTTCAAATAAACTTGATTCTTAATAGTGACAAACCTATTGGTAGTACGCTCTGACTCATTTAAATAGCAGTTGAATAGAGTTGATCCTACAAAGACAAACAAAAAATAGGCATGAACAATGATTGGAATGAATACAGTTGACCTGCAATATGAATTTCACCAATGTCACTTGGGTTGTTTGTATTGCTAATCATATCACCTTGTTCATCAATGATTAAATATTGAATGCCTGGCAACGGATAACCAATAGGTATATCAGTACCATCGATATTTTGTATTTGACACCCACTTGACACATGGCATTCAGACAGACCCCACACAGAAAAAAAATCGAGGATTGAACAAAGTTAAAAATCTGAGAAAGTGTGTCCACTCTTGATACTTCACAGTATCACCTAAATATACGAGAACGAGTAAGACATAATAAATTCAACATTCAAATGGACAAATGCGTAGTTACCTCCTATGAACACGTTACGAACAAAACTGAACGTTTCCAATCGTTGACTCATCTCGAGATACTTGCAAAGAGCTCGAATTAGAGCAGGATTGATTAAGAGTGCTGTTATTTGTTGATATACAAGAGTTCGACAAAAATAGGCTATATCATAAACGGCACCTGGTCGTATAAGCACAAGAGTGCCACCAGCTGTCAGAACCAATGCTATTTCTACCAGACGTGTGATCCATGAACAGGTAGAAACCTGAAGAACTTGGTCGCCATACCAATTTTTTTCTGAATGACCATTGAGTAAGAGAAGCAATACCTGCCGAAAAACTTTTGTGAATGTGCACTACTACTTTTGTCGTCCAGTTGTACCTGAGGTAAAAACAATGTATGCAGGACCGCACTCTTGAAAATCTGGAATATCGTCTATATCTTCAACCCTTAACAGTGGGACGAGAATATCATCCAATCGAACGACATGTGGAACAGCTGTTGATGGAAACTTATGACGAGTTATTCCATGCAGTAGAACACATTGACCATCTATTTGACCGAGAACTGAAACAACACGTTCATGCTGATCTGCTGGATTTAATAGACAGTATACACCACCAGCACACATTATACCCAACATACCACAAATCATTTCAAGTCCTCGTTCCACAAACTGGTAAACAATTTGTCCTTGAGCGACGTGTAAACGGTATCGATGATGCGCTACACGTTCGACTTCTTCAGTCAGTTCACTGTAGGCCCAGACTTGATCATCAAGCACTACAGCTACCTTTTGAGGATGCATTTTTGCTGATTCGAATACTTGCCGTAATACGTACAATGGTGGCACCATGCTTTTTTTAATATACTTAAGTGACGAAGTTTATAAAGAAAATCTGAAAAGAAAAATATTAAGCAGTGCGAAAATGAACTTTTCAGCAAAGAGAGTTTCGATGAAATTATAAGAAGCCAGTCGAACAACTCATTAGAAATGATAAGTGAATTTCTAGCACGTGAGCGGAAACAATCACTTATGGGTGTGGGTGTGGGTGTGCCTCTTTCCTTCAGCTATAGCCACACCTACCCACACCCACACCCACACCCACACCCACGCCCACACCCACACCCA